AAAAATTTTTCGGTCAGTGTACCATTTTAGGGGTCAAAAAATTTTTCCGGACATACCAAAATTTTTCGGAAAATCACACAAATTTTCAAAAAAAAAAATTGACCACAAAATTGACTGAATTTTCCACTGAATTGACAGAATTTGTCCCATTTATTTTTATTACAAACCAAAATTGCCCGACTGTTGATCGAATATTGCCCGACTGCCCAAAAAACTGGGGGGCTACCGCCCCCGCCCGGTACGCCTATGCCGACAGGCGACATTCCTTAACTAAAAAAGAGCGACAAATGACAGCTTCTGGACTGGGAAAAAGCGATAAATTGCAATTTGTGTTATGGGTCAAAAGTGACAGCGACATTTATTACAATAAAACAAGCGACAATTAAAGCAGCTACAAAATGAGTGACAAGCGACCTGGGTTACACCCTTGGTGGGCCTCCAGAGACCCAGGCTCTATTTGATATATATATACATACAACTACAAGAACGTGCGGTTAGAGCTCGATACGACTGACTTCAGTTGGTTAGATCGCTGCACCGGAATAGTCTATAGTTCTATTTTTGAACAAAACTAACCCTTCTGTTATTTGAATGGACTGCAATGCATTGCAATTAAAAGATGACGTTGGTTTTCGTGAAATAATCTATTGCACATTTAAGATATCAGGGTCACCACACTCACACATACAGTATGTAATTTAATAAATATAGTAAATACATTTAATTTGATTTGTTAATTTGCACTCTTCATATTTATATAATAAATAAAAATATATCGATAAACAAGTGAACTAATAAATAAAATAAATAAATAAACAAGAAGCTATACAGTAAGGCTAAATTTACTTTGTTTTTTCAAAAGTTGATTCACATTGGTTTGTAATTTCTCAATTGTTTCTCTCTGTTCCAAGTTTTTCCGCACCAGCTAAAAAATGGTAACAAAACTGAATTCAATTTTTTATCACTATGAAAGTAGAAGGAAATTGCCCACATGTTATGAATATTGAGAAGAGAATTCGGCTCTTGGAGAACTCTTGGGACTTTTTCCCACTCATCGCAAGCTTGCTGTGAGTGCTTGCATCTAATTAAAATAAACTGTCGAGCATTGTGATTGGTTGATCACGAGGTAATCATTTTGCTGCAACTTGCAACGCACTAGATCGGACATAGAGCAATGTTATTTTTGTATTTACAGTAAATCAGTGAGCATGGATAATGCCTCGTTCAGGCTTTTAGGCGATGGACAGTAATTCGGAAGTGGTATATTGTACACCCTACCCTGGTTCCAGAGGTTCTTGTGCCACCGTATTATAAATTACGTAATACGAGCGAGAACCTCTGGGCCGCGGAAGCATTTCGGAAGTGGAGCCGGGGCATTGGCCAAAAGGGGCACTTTTGTATATGACCAAAATCAAACGATTTTATGCTTTTTTGTTCAGAAAAGTTAAATTGCTCCGTTCTATAGAAAACCTCCGTCCATTTGGAGGAGGTTTTCTACACAGTTGCGTTATATTATAAACTTAGGGGCTGTTTACATGATACCGCTTCGTCGTGACAGGATGGAAGGCAGGATGATCTTGATGTATTGAAATAAATCACTAGCCTTAAACGAAAGTTCGAACGTCATTTAAAAGAACTCAAATGTTGTCGAGAAGATCTCGTATAGTTCAAGATCATTATTGATTTTTTCTGTATTAATGCTTGTGATTTTACTCTTGTATATCCACACCGGGAAAGCTTGAAAAATATTCCTGGCCACGGTGGGAATCGAACCTAGCTCAGTTCTCAGCTGACCGCGTAGCTCAGTTGGCAGAGCATTGGGCTAGTATTCCAAAGGTCGTAGGTTCGATTCCCACCATGGCCAGGCATATTTTTCAAGCTTGCCCGGTGTGGATATACACTCAGAGTAACATCACAAGCAAGATTATTATTGCTGCTTGAACGACCTTTCGTTTGCAATTATGCTGTAATCAATCACTAGGAAAATAATGGAGTTTCACTGAATCATGCACCGTGACTTATTCCAATACGTCAAAATTATCACGCCTAAAATCTCGTCCCAGCAAAGTGGAATCACGTAAACAGCCCCTTACAATCGAAATTAAACGTATCCATGTTATTATTTTATTCTTATTTTAATAGCTTCGGCAAGAACACGCGTAGTTCATAAACAATAACAAAAATAACTGAACAAAAAAACAAACTTGGCAGGAACACCGCAATAGCATTGAGCCAATTACAGCCGGGTATTCACAGACAATTAAAATCAATTCATTATACATCGCCATTGTAATATTACGACTAATGAGATATGCACAAAGACAATGAGGAAGTGATTAGATGGAAAGAGATTAAAGAAAGTGCAAGTAAACATTTCCTTTTTTTATATATATTAGCTTTTCAATATAGCACGAGGTTTGGTAAAGTTACTATTAACGGTGACACAAGGTTAATTAATTTTCTGCGTAGTTTCAACAAGGCCAAGGCCCAAGGGCAATATATATTTTAACTTGCCATCACAGGAAATTATAATCGTTATTCAGTACGGGCTCCTGTACTGCTATTATTTTACCTATAATTATTTTGTACTTATCAGATCAAGAATCATTCTCGTCCCCAGAGCCATTTTCACTCGGTCACTCGTTGAAAATTAGGCTCTGGGTTAGACGACTGAAGGGAGAGATCTGATTGGCTTCTCAGATAACTGCATGCTATGCTAATCCCCAGAAGTTGAGCAGTTTTCGCTAAGTGAATAGCTGAATTAAAACCACAAGTTAACATCACTTACAAGTTTTTTTTATTAATTTGCCAACCAATCTCGTTCCCCGAGCCTGCGATCCTCGGGAAGGAACGCGAGGCTCTGGGATAATCCGTTTCAGGGAGGAATCTGATTGGCCGAAATTGGCCGTTGAAATGGAATGCGCAGTTCAATCTTAGCCAGGATTCCTGGCTTCCGGCAACGGATTATCCCAGAGCCTCACGTTCCTTCCCGAGGATCGCAGGCTCGGGGAACGAGATTGTTTGCCAACTAGTAATCAATAAGGAATGCATGAGCTAAAATAAAATTTGTTTAGCAATACGGAAAAACGCTCATGCAATATTCCTTAAAGTGCGACTAACACCAAATGTGATTTTTAATTTGGTTTATAATATAGCATTTGTAAATTCTGAACGCTGATTGGCTAAGAGCCGTGTTGATATAACTCAATGTAAACACGGGAAATTTTCCGCCGCTTGTAAACACGGAAATTTTTCTTATCCTTCGGGCTTTTGACATTGCTATATTATAAAAAAATATATAAAACATTTTTTCCGTATTGATATATATTTATATCAACACTCGTGGAAGTTGGGAAAACTCGAAATTGTATGATTCCATGCAATTTCTCGTTTTCCCAATTCCACTCGTGTTGATATGACTGTATATCAACACGGAAAATGTTTTATATTTGTTAAATAGTAAAAAAGTTCATCTTGATAGACTTTTTCAGTCTCAAAAGTTCCGGATATGACGTTATTTGGGGAATTGCAAAATATTTTTCTCTTGATTTTTTCTGTGTTGGTGTAATGTACTCAGGTGAATATGATGCTTGTGATGTTACTCTGAGTCTTGTTTTCGGCACCTAAAATTCCCCAAATGACATCATATCCGGCAGCTTCAAGAGCCGAAAAGTCAATCAAGACGAGTTTTTTTACTATAAAGATATACTGCATTTCTTCTTAGAATAATCCAAATATTTCGTAGGCCAAAAATCATATTTGTGGTTAGTAGGACTTTAAATAGAAGTGAATAATAGTAATCATACCATATTATTTTCCTGCTTATAATAAGTGACCAGATCTATCAATTGTTCTTGTGAAATAGAGGCTAAGGAATCTAGACATGTCGAGAAAAAATATTGGTCAACAAAAACACTGATTATCGGGTCAGATTTCTAGATGGGTCATTTCTGTTCACTATTATGTAGCAAACTTCACTATACGTCGTTTATTTTTTTTAACTAATCACTAATGTGTCTTGCGAATTAACAATAAATTTAATAAAATAGTCTAAACAGACGTCAGCACATTTATCAACAATTATTTAATTTTATGCCATGTGTTAGGGTTTTTAGATGCAAATGAGATGCAGTTTCAATAGTTTTGCACTCAATTCCCAACGGTGGAAAAATGAGATTTCGACCGGCAATTTTCATTGCATTTGTATTTGGTCATTTTCATTTATAACGATACAAAAAAGATATGAATGGACAGCTAAAAATCTGAATTTTGTTGCTGTGTAAAAAAGTTATTGATAAACTCCATATCTAACGCACACGAACGTGCCAAACTTGGACTACCTTGTTTTTGACACATGCACCCTGTACAATAATGTCCATGAAAATAGTTAAAGACCATGTCAAGTCCGTAATGTAATCTAACACTTTTCTGGGTCGCTATTGTAAATGAATATAAACTAGAGTAGGTTTCAATTCAAAAAAGTTCGAAAGATGCAAAATTTGGGCAATGTATATATATTTGTCAGCATGAGCTCCACCTTTGAATTTACTATATGAGTAAATTCTTAAACACGTCCGAATTTATCATTATGATAAATTCGCGGCAAATTTTGAATTTATCATAATAATAAATTCGCGGCACCTAACACTAACCCTAACCCCAACCCCAACCCCAACCACTAATTTTTTTAACTTTTTAAATTTTTTAAAATTTTTTTAAAATCTAACTTTTTAAACTTTTCTTGCTTTTCGAAACTCTTTTAAAACTTTTTAAAACTTTTCTAAAAGCTATTTTTTGGGGGAATTTGAAAAACTCACCACCCCGGCGCAGCCAGCCGCCCTTTTAGTGCCATTACATTTATAGCAAGAAACCTTGTGCAATGCTTGTGGTTTTATAATTAACTCTATTGATAAATTCAAAATGTGCCGCGAATTTATCATAATGATAAATTCGGACGTGTTTAAGAATTTACTCATATAGTAAATTCAAAGGCGGAGCTCATGTTGATATCTGTGGGTCCCCCTTTGTTATGAGCAGAACTGATGCACAGAACGGACTTGATATGGTCTTTAACATTATTTTCCACTCTGAAACTGTCGGTTGGCCACCGTCCATATATATATACCTGTATCAGCAGGTTTGCCCAGTTCTTCTCTTTCAGTTTGAACACCAACTGAAATTTTACTTTCTTCGTTGTTTTGTGGCCTTCAGAACAAAATAGAAAATGAATGTGTAAACTAGTTATCAGGATATCAATCGATTTTTTGCAATATCAACATCGATTAGACGCCTTGGATACTATATTTAATTTTCTGGTTTTTGCATAAAATGAAAATGCAATGAATGGATTTGCAATGAAAAATATTATCTGGCAAAAGTTACAATCGACAGATTGTCTTTATTTACCTATCGTCATCATCGTTAACGCGAGGGCTGTTAGGAAGAAAATTATCAGCTTCTTGTAGTTCCTGGAATAAAGCAGAAAAAAATAAAAAAATAAGTTGAAAATAGCCGCTCACAAAAGTTCTCGGTTTAGAACTTGATTACAAATCAACATATATAAAGTTACAAAAATAACAAAGTAGGGGAAAAAAGTGGCAGGGACATCGCAACAGCTCCGAGGTACCCAATTACTGCGGCCCCTTGCTTTGGTCTTACACCCAGTAATACTTTCAAGAGGGAAACCGAGCTCATATTTACCCTTCTCAACCATTCAGGAACAGTGCTGTCTGATTCAGACAAACCTCGAGCGTCGTTGGCGGGAGAATTGTCTTCAGGTGCAACTGCGTCATCAAAGTCCTAGGCGCATGCAAAAACAGTTTTAACTTTAACATCCCAAATTTCCCCAACTTAGTTTACTTAGTTTAGCTTAGTTTAATAACTTCATCATCAAAACAAAATTACAACAGATGAGAGCGCAGCCCCAATTGAATCTGCCTACCATAATTACGAAGAATAACATACATTGGCTTATTGCATTTTTAACCCCCATTGTAGATACTGAATTTCCGGACTCTTCCTAAAAATTCAACAAAAAAAGAAGGAATTTCCAATGGAGGGTCTAACTTTAAAGAAAATATGTAGGGAATTCCACAGGGTAGGTTAAAAACAACATGGAAATTCCAAGCGGGATGGTTTCCTATTAAATAAAAAAATGTGGAAATTCCAGAAAACCACAGGAAATTCCAAGGGATGAGTAGAAATTCATTAAAAAATCTGTGGAAATTCCATGGGGTAAGCTGGAAATTTGTAAAAAATCTGCGGAATTCCATGGAGGTAAGCAGGAAATTCATCAACGTCTGCGGAATTCCAAGGGAGGGGGGGGGGTCCAAAAATGGATGTCCTTCATAGGGGGGGGTGGGTGGATTAAGAAAGCAATAAGCCATTATCATACAAGTTAACAACTAAAGTTCAGTAGAGCTACTATAGAAAATATAGGTAGAGTTATTATATGGAGGTGAATAAATATTCAGAACCATTCCAAGCAATATAGCTTTTCCCTTGTTAAATATTTTTTAAACCTTAACCACCGCATTAACTTACATCTTGTAGCCATCTTGGTGTTTCCACTTCATCATCAGATAAAATATTCCTTGCGCCCGAGTCCTGACTGTTAGTGAAAGGATCATCGCTACTTACGGACAGCGAACTTAAACTGGGAGAGAACGAGTCTCCCATATCACTGGTTCTGTCATTTGAGTCGATTGCTACTATAAAGGAAAGAATAGCTGAGAAAATAGACCTTTTTGTATGACGTAAAAACTATGTCAAGTATCCCCCGATTCAGTTCCACTCACAGACAGACGGATTTTCAAATAATTAAATAATAATAGTAGGATTTTCAGAATTATTCTGAGTAGGTTGATAACGTAAGCGGCTGTGGGAAGCGGTCTAGGGAGTCTTAAAGTCATTCAAATTAAATTGACTAGATAACAACACGAACGAGCTCTCGTGTCAATACTTTTCACTCTTCAACAACTGCCTCGTACCCAGGCGTCAATTTGTAACAAAATAGTGATGCGCATATGAGAAGTTTACATGAAGTATTGTAGTGGAGAGAAATGGGCGAAGGGGCTGGTGAGAAGAGTGCACCCTTCCCAACAGCCCCTTCGCGCGTCGCCTACCTACCTGAATACCTCATGTATTATAATTATTTAAAGCGCCTGGGTACGAGGCAGCTTCAACAAGATAATTTCAAGATTTATGATGGCAAATAACATGCACATTTAATCTTTGAACTCACGTGATCGGGGGGAGTTTGCCGCACTTGGAGTCTTGATGGCTCTACTTCCAAGAACGCGATCTGTAGAAAGAATGAAATGATGCTTATGCTTTTCATCACAGTGCATCCACCTTCCTTACCAGAACACTACAGTGTACCTTAGTATATTTAAGATTCACTGAGCACTATCAATCGGCATTTTCCAGAGTGAGAAACTAATGTTAATTCTTTTCATTATTTCTAGTAGAGATTTAGTGTAATTTTTCTTGCTCCAATACTGGTTTTCCCATACTGTTTCTGACGTTGCCATCATTATAGGTAACAGTCTTGTATTGGGTAATCTCCTGCGCCGCCTGTTCGCGGGTGCGAGGTGGAGAGAAAACCTCAAGTAGTTTAATCTTCAGTGTTTTCTTGCTCTTAAGGCCGATTTAGACTACACAACTTTTGCTTAAAACTGTCTCATGCAACATGCTTAAAACTTAATTGAATTGTACTGTGTAAATCAAACACACAACTCACCTACGATAACGCATATCATAGGTGAATTGTGTGCTTGATTTACACAGTACAACTCTGTGTCACCGTTGTGTAGTGTAAAGCGGCCGTTATAAATGTCAACATTTCTGCTACCCCGTTCGCTTACTGAAACCAATCAATCACCCATAACTAAGCCTGACCTGCGACGATAATGGTATGCCAATACCGACATGCCAAGCTGATGACTGCATGAAGTGAGCCAAATATAGGCTTGGGTAATGACGTCACTGGTATATCATCCTTTGTCTTTTTTGTAATGTT